TTTTTCTCTTCGTCTCGCACCATCGTGTCCGGTCTTTGGAATGCCGCCCGCCGCCACCGCCGCCATCGCTTGCGCAACAAGAAGAAGGCGATCTCCGTCGCTCCGAGAACCCGACACGAACGATCTTGGTGGGAGAGTAGTTTCTCTTCTCGAAAAGAGAAAAAAGAGAAAGAAAAAGGAGAGAGAGAGAGAGAGAGAGTGAGTGGTGGGGGTAATACGAGTAGTAGTAACCAGTCGTGGAAGGTCATGCTCTCTCTCTCTCTCTCTCTCTCTCTCTCTCTCTCTCCCTCTCTCTCTCTCATCTCTCCTCTCTCTCTCTCTCTCTCTCTCTCTCTCTCCTCCCTCTCCCTCTTTCCTTTCCCTCTTGTTTTTCTTTCTTTCTCTCTCTTTTTATTTATTTCTTTTTCTCTATTATAAATATCTTTTCGGTATTTTGTCTATATGTATCTGTTTGTCCGTGTGCCCGTGCGTGTGAGAAAGAGAGGCGATCAATGAGTATATGTATATGTAAATATATATATATATATATATATATATATATATATATATATTTCATTTATCGTTATCTACAACATATTAAAACGTATAAATTAATACCTAAGTATATATCATTTAGGAACATAAATTTGACTATAATCCTCGTAATTTTTAATTATGTCTAATAGAAAAATTCTATGACTAATATATATGTATGTCTCTTTTGGTTTATCCATCCTGTTATCTCTCTCTTTCTTTCTCTCTCTTTCTCTCTATAAATTATTATATATATATCTTAATTATTATTCAGATATCAGATTTTCTTTCTTAATTTATTATAATTGTTATTATAATTACTTCGTATATATCATGAGCTAGGACCATTTATTCATATAATCTCACCCGCACATATACATAGGATCATTTACTACTCTTCCTCTCCACCTGTCTGTCTATTTATCTTCTTCTTCTTTCTCTTTCTTTCTCTCTCTCTCTCTCTCTCTCCTCTCTCTCTCTCTCTCTCTCTCTCTCTCTCTCTCTCTCTTTCTCTCGTATTCGTTCTTCCGATATATACTATACCTGTAATATAGCTTGGAAGAAGGACGTAGGATATCGAAGCACATATTACCCCATTCTTCTTTCTGCCTGGATGCACACGAATCGTGTCCCTTTCTTGTATATTTATATATATGGTTATATATACATACATATCTACATATATATATATATATATATATATATGCATGCATATTTTTGCATATATATATATATATATATATATATATATATATATATATATATACATACGTATACTTATGTAGTTGCATACCTTGGTTTTCTCGTCGAGCGATATACCCTCTCTTCTCGAATTGAAGCCTGGAATGGTACGTTCAAGACCGCAAAGAAAAGAGATCGCGTGTATGTTCTCGCTTTAACTCGCTTATTATTCCCCATTTTGCACCCTCTCGCGTTTCTCCGTTAAGATTTCTTTCATTGAGAATACGTTCGTGCGACTGTGAGAAGAAGAGGCCGCCGTCTCGTTCCTTCTTCATTTCGTTATTACAAATGTGTACGTAACAGAGATTGCGTCTTTTTTTCCTTCTTACGCAAATTCGAAGAAAAAAGAGAAAGAATATTTTTGAAGCTTCCTATCATCTTTTTATTATTATTATTATTTTTTTTTATTATTTATTTTTATTATTATTATTATTATTATTTTATTTTTTTTTATTTTTTATTTTTTATTTTTATTATTATTATTATTATTATTATTATTATTATTATTATTATTATTATTATTATTATTATTATTATTATTATTATTATTTCTTTTTTTTTATACCACAATTATATACTTTTTTCAAACAAAACTTTTATTTCTTTAATTCGTTTTTCTGTTTCTTTTTTTGTTCCTACTAATTCTTCACGTTCTAAAAGTAATCCCTGGTTTGTTCTATGAATTTCGATTAGAAAAGATATATGACATTATTTTATGTATTTATTTATTCGTTTTGTTAGATTTTTGTCAGAGATTTTTTTCTTATTTCTTTCTTTTTTGCTTTTTCTTTCTTCTCTCTTTTTCACAAACAAACATAATTAGCTTCAAATTTTATATTCAAACGTAAAAGATTTCTTTTTTTATTCTATCGTCTTTGTTAACGTTGCGGTTAATTAACGTGTGAATTTTTAATCAATCGGAAAAATTAATTTTTATTTTTAATTAATTAAATTTTGTTTTGTAATGTGTTTCATTTTATTGGAAACACTTTGTTTTTTTTTTCTTTTTGTTTTTTTCTTTCTTTAATCGTAGAAATATGATATTACGAGAAGGATGTGATAGTAAGGGAAGAAACAAAATGTTCCAAAAAAAAAAAAAAAAAAAAAAAAAAGTAAAGAATAATTGCCGCATGTATTCCTTGAGAAATATTAGATTTTTTTTTCTTCTATTAGTTACCAATGAGTTTGTAGTTTAGAGTAGATCTATTCGATCTTGAACGTAAGCCTTGCGATCGGATTTCGCAGAAAGCAGCGAGGGTCGACCTTGGCCCGTTTCTCTTCCTCGGCTTTGTGGAACGGTGCTAACGAGATTTCGGCACGTGCGTCGTAACTTCGGCTGAGCAGAGTATATTCGGCACATTTGCTGGCTCTAGTCTGGTGCACGATCCTCTATAATATTCGCCCGAGGGTACAGTCCCCCTGCGAAATATCAAATGTGTTTAACATCGAACCGTCGAAAATTTCATTAGAACGTTATCGTTTCTTCTATATTAATAATAATATCTTTTATTTGTCTAGATAAGGCAACGTAATTTATTAAATAATTATTTTTAATTAAATTAAATTAAAAATTTAATTAAATCATTATTTATATGAGAAATTGATAGCATCGTCATTTTTTTTTCTCTTAATATGTCGAACGAAGTTTACATAAAGTTTATATATATATATAATATATGGCGTCAATAATGATAAATTAGATTGATCGTTTTAACGTCATTAATCATTTCCATTCAAATTTTCTTCTATATATGAGATACATGCGTCATCATTTTCTTTTGTTCCAATATGTCGATCAAAGTTTGGATTAAATTTTTACTAACATAAATACACACACACATACACATACACATCAGTAATGATAAATTAAATTAAACATTTTCCATCATTAATCACTTCCATTCAATTATCTATTATATATTGTTCTTTTTCTTTCTCCCCTTTAATTAATATAATTATTTTACTGTTTCTCACGTGCTTGTAAAAACAAATAAATAGCTAAAAAAAAAAAAAAAAAGAAAAAAAATAAAAAAAAAATAAAAAATAAAAAAAGTGAAGCGTGAACAGCATCTGGTTGCGTTTTTTCTTCTCTTCTCTTCTCTTCTCTTGTCTTTTCTTTTCTTTTCTTTTTTTTCTCTTGTGTTTTTTCCGTTCTTCTTTTTTCCTTTTTATTTTTCTTTCGTGCTTCTTTCGAACATTCGCGCCTTTCAAGAAGCAGTCTCGCGTTCTTTTCGAAATGAGGCCCCCTCTTTCTACGACCTAATGCCGTTTCTTCTTACACCCTTCTTCCTTTCCCTTCGACCTTCCTCTTCTTTAAATATAGATCCTTATTCCGGTCCCACGACTTACAAATGGTATGCTGCGAGTATGCGAACATGACTTAACACATATCACAGTATATATTATAACTAAGTGAAATTATATTTAAAATTTGTTATATTCTATATAACAAAGGATATATGTAAAAATAGAAACTATTTTAATTAATGTGTTAATTAAAAGATTATGATTATGAATAAAAGTTTTATATAACGATCTTTTTATTTTAATCGTTCTATACATGAAATATTTTTATCGAAATAATAAAAGTACTAAGGGAAGAAAATTATAAATATATTTTATTAAGGAAGGGAATATCTTTTAATTAGATGAGATCACTGTGATTGAAGATCCAACTTTCAATATTAATTAACTGTTAAATTTCATTATCTCTTACTTCAAGAAAATAGAATTATATATTATAGTTTACTTTCTGCGACGCTTAAAAATAATAATTATTAAAAACGATCTTTCTTTTTTATTCCGAATATCGATTCCGAATGAAAATAAAACGACAGAAGCAATAACAAAGAAGCAAAACAATGAACGATTAATCGATATTATTTATCTCAATTATAAACTCGAGAAACTCGAGAGGGGAAAAAAAAGAAAATTTACTTGTCGCGCCAAGGTCGATTATTTGGAAGATGAGCGAATGATTTTATGGTCGAGGTCATATGAAGAGGGATCGTTATGAAAGTGAAAGAAATAGACAACAAATAAGACTGACCAAAAGGTTTAATTCCAAAATTAGAAATGGTCACTGGTCGCCATTATTAAGAAGTTTATTATGAGATATAATGGTAACGGAGTAAATAGAAAAATAATATAAACGTTTTTAAAGAAAAAAGAAAGAAATGACGGAACGGGATAAATGGAAATATGAGTTTAAATGAAAGAAGAAAAGAAAATGAAAATAAAATAAACGTAATATTATTATGTCGTAAATAATATTCAACGAAAATAACCAAGAAGATTTTAATATGGAATAAAAATCTGTGGATTTATCGTGTTTATTTGCGTTTAAACATAATAAGGGTGTTGGTAAACATTTATTTTCTTTTGCATGTATAGTACGAGTGAACTTTTCTTTATTCCGTCAGCCATATTATGTGCGAGAAGAAGAAACATCTTCGAGAATTGTATGGATCCGCGTTTGTATCCGCATAGTTCCGATGAAGTCTTTGATCTTTGACCCATGTTAAGACCGATTACTATTCGAAGGATTTCGATTGATTATATTAGTTGACTACGATAAAATTAGAATATTTATAACAAGGAATATTTTCTTCTTTTTTTTTTCTTTTTTCGTGATTTTTTTTTTCTTTTTTATTTTATTTTATCGATGATAGAAAAATTTACAAGAGAAAAAGAAAACGATGCGTCGTGATAAAATAATATAACTAAAATCATTAAGCTTTTTAAACATGAATCTTTGTAATGTAACAAAGTAAATAAATATAATATGAAAGAAAATATTGAATATAAATATAACGATGTAATCGGAAGATTTTTTTTTTTTTTTTTTTTACAACTTTATGTATATTTTGAATACTTATAGCTGTACTCGATCTGTAACAAATATAATTACTTTATTATTAATTAATCGATTAACTAATTAATTAAATAATTATTAATCGATGAACTTATTAACTGGAAATAAATTAAATTACTTACGTTAATCTTCGTATAGTTTTTTTCTCTTTTCGAAGAAGTCAACAGTGAAATTAAATATTCGATGAAATAATAATATTACTTCTTATTGTGTGTAAACTTCATTATTGTAATTTTATATGCCCTCGTTACTAGTTCTATGGCTATATTTTCTATGGCTGAATTTATTTCATTTGCATTTAATAAACCTTATCTATATTACCTTCATTATTATTTATAATAATAACATATTTAAATGAATGCATATATTTTAATAAAATTTAAATAAAAGCTATCTTATTTATTTAAATTAAGTTAAATCAATTTAATTAACACTAAAATTAAATTAAATTAAATTAAATTAAATTAAATTAAATTAAATTAAATTAAATTAAATTAAATTAAGTTAAATTTATTTGTCAGATTAATTTATGATAAAATCAAATCACACTGATGCTATGTAAATATCTGCTGGAAGGGAAAGGAGGTCGGAAGAAGAACAAATGTATTAAAAAAAAAAAAAAAGAACAATCGAAAGGAATAGGAAAATATTTTATTTTTTTGATCGGTTCGATGATCGAAAAGGAAAAAAATAATAAAAGAAATGGAAAAAAAATTGAAACGAGAACGCATCCACTTATTTACGTTTTACTTTTCCATCAAATTTTAAACGCATCGTATCAGCATCTGGCACTCGTTAGCCACCTGTCGGCAGGTGCTAACCGTGCACCCGTTCTCCATTACCTTCCTACCATTCGGTGTCAACTGGCCCCTTTTGTTTTCAGCCCTCTTGCCATTTTAGACTCTACCGTATGCTTTTTTTATAATTTTCTTTTTATTATTTATATATCTCTTTCCTCTTTTTTTTAATTTTACTACGTTGTACGAGATCGCGTAGGTGATATGTGATAGCGGATGTCATCGATTCGTGCGTGCGTACTACTAGGCTATCGTGTGTGAAACCCTTTAACCTTCTTCCACGTAAACAGGAAGTCCCTTCCTGTCTCTCTCTTTCTCTCTCTCTCTCTCTCTCTCTCTCTCTTTCTCTCTCTCTCTCTCTTTCTCTCTTTCTTTCTTTTCTCTCTTTCCTTCTCCTTCTCTTGCCTTCCTTCTCCGGTACAGGTTGTAAATAGTGCGTAAGAAACACCTGTACCTGGTTATACTACGTACTACGTTACTACGTACACGTGTTTTTACGTTCGATTCATTACGAATGCCGGTCACGAACCTTTTTTTCTTTCTCTTTACCTTTCTCTCGGACGCAATAATTTTTTCCCTTTCTTTCTTCTTTTTTTTTGTTTCTTTTTTTTAATCTCTTTTTTTTTTTATTTTTTATTTATTTCATATACATTATATGTTAAATCGTAATCTCATGCACGAGTGAAATTTTACAATAGAAACAAGTTCACATTTAGTTAATGATAAAATAAAGACGATCGTGCCTTCTTTGTTGAAGTTATACAAATAAAAATGTAAATTATAATATAGAGTTTAATCGGATAAGAACGATAAATCTTTGCATGTCATTTTTTTTTTTTTTCTTTTTTTTTTTTTTTTTTTTTTGATATATTTTATTACGTTGCATTTGTATCGTATTTTGTTATTACGAAGAAAATTTTTGGAACAGTAGATGAGCTGGAAAAACGAACCTTTGATATATAATTCTGCTATAATAATTACAAATTCGAATTACTTTGTTACTTAATTGTCCGTTTGTTAATTATTCATTAGGAAATTTCGCAATTAAATTTATTATATCTTTAAAGAATTAATATTGATCATCGTGAATATTTTTATATGTCATAAGGTGATATAATTTTTATCGATTATTCTTTATTTTAATTCTACGTAATCTTTTTCGTTACAGGCTGCGATACTTCAACAGACTGCCGAATACATTTATCAGTTAGAACAAGAGAAAACACAGTTGTTGTCGCAGAACTGTCAATTGAAGCGACTTGTGAATCAACACGAAGGTGGTGATTTACCTATCAAAAAACGCAAGCCTGATAATCAAGGTGAGTTCCTTTCTTTTTTTCTTTTTCTATTTTTTAATTATCTTTACTTATCGATTTTCTTTAAAACTTGATGTATTGATATTGCTTATATGATTATTGTAATAAATATAATTAATAATTTATATATAATCATTTATACATTGTATAGGATTTAAAACAGCCGTTTATGTAATTTTGATGCATATATATATATATATATATATATATATATATATATATATACAGGATAGATTAATTACCGTATTCAGATACGATGTTATGAACAATTTTTCATACATAATTCGAATGATTTTAAAGTACAAAAATTTAATTTTTATATCGTTTAACTAGATAAGATAATTAATTAGATAGCCCGTTTTACCCATCTTTTATAAATGTTTATATATAAATTATTCATTCTCTCGTACTATAATTACATTTAATTAAAATACTGTATATTAAGCAACCGCTATTTTACATGAAAGGTATACCCTGTATACCTTGTATGATATTAACATAAATTAAATTCAATATCTAATTCTAAACAAGTTTAACATGAATTTATAATAATGTTAGTTGATCGAAAAAGAGAATAGTTATTTTAAAGTATTTATCTTTAATAAGCCGAACTTGTTCGAAATTTATTTCAAATGTTTTTTGTTTTTTATTTCATTTTCTTGCTGTACTTTTTTTTATAAATTGTATGTACTATATATATATTTTTCTTTTTTTTCT